ACATTTTAAACCCCAAAAAAAAAAAAAAAAGGCAGCAGCTCAGAATTGAATGAATTGATGGGCACACTCCAACTGCTGGGCTGGAGAGACTGGAACTTGGGCTGGCCATTTCTGCTTCTTTGAAAGAGGAGACAACTTGGGCTTCCATTTTATTTCGTTTTTGTCCTTCTCCCCCCCACCCCCATCCTTCCTTTCGGGGGTGAAAGGGAACCAGAGCGCACAAGGAAACAGACCCAGGAGGCAGAGAAGATGGGCATCCTCAGCGTGGACTTGCTGATCACACTGCAGATTCTGCCAGTTTTTTTCTCCAACTGCCTCTTTCTGGCGCTCTATGACTCGGTCATTCTGCTCAAGCACGTGGTGCTGCTGCTGAGCCGCTCCAAGTCCACTCGCGGGGAGTGGCGGGGGGGGGCGACCTCCGAGGGACTGCGCTGTGTCTGGAAGAGCTTCCTCCTCGATGCCTACAAACAGGTGAGCTGCGCTGAGCAGGGCTTCTCTCTAGGTGGACAGGGGCTGGCATGCTGGAGACCAGAGGCCATTGAGAGCCTGGAGGTGAGAGCTGTGGGGTCCGGTTTGGAGGCCTGCCTAGGGCGCATGCTGGAGCCAGCTTCTGCTTTTACTTTGGACACCTGCTGTACAAGTTAGATTTGGGGATGGCAGCTATCAAGTCATCATGGCTCAGAGATCTAATAAAGAATCTTTCTAGTAAGGATTTTTGGTATCTTGCTGGGATTTTGGAGTAGAGGGTATTGGTGCAGGAAGAACCCCTCTGGGAAAAGTCAAAGATGTTGGGAGAGGGGAAGACTGTTGCCTTTATTCTAGTCTTGTCATAAGGGGATTTCTGATGTTCTGTTTGACGGGAGGCTGTGTGATGTGCACAAGGAATGGCGGTTCCAGGGAGTGGGCAGGAAAATGTGAAACAACAGAAAACACAATTCAAAACTCTCAGAATGTGGACAAGAACTGAAATGCCACAGCAACTGGGATGGGCACCATAGCGCTTGATACCTGGTGGAGGTAAGAGTTAATGAAGTCTGACGGCAGCTTCCTGTAATACTGAGTTGGATTTGAACCCTTTGGAAGTATTGCAATGCATGGAGGCCCCAGTTATTAGATATCAATTTGCAAAGAAAGCTCTGGCAATAGAAATAGAGATCTTGTAAGTGAAATGACATTTACTCTGTTTCTTAGAGGTAAAATAAGTTGCCTTTGGTAGAACCCATAAGCCTATGACCCAGTGAGTCTTAAAAATCTATTATAACAGGTGCCTCGAACATCACTCCAGTGGCCTCTGTATCTGTATAAGGTGGGTCCCATGGGCTGATTTCTCAAAACCAGAGTTGGTGCTCCTAAGAGAAAAATGCTGGCATTTCAGCCTTTTGGGTGCTTAGAGTTGCTGGTGGAGCATTTTCAACCAAGACATTAAGGGGTAGAGAGGAATATTTTGGCCCTGGTCCTTTGTCACTTTGATTTCACCTTCTATGTCCAGATGACTCCTAAAGGTCTCCCTGGATTTTTGAAGAATAAGCTAGATTGCAAAAGTTGCTATCAAAGCAGACAATCTTGGTTTTCCTTAAAAATACTGAGGGAACTTGCCCAGGAAGCCAGGGAAGGGAGTTTGAGAACAATATTGAAAGCCAGGTGTTGAATGAAACAGTATATTTAAGGCAGGCAGCACCTCAGACACAGAGCTAGGGAATTCTGAATAACAGAGGGGGAAGGGCAAGAGTCCTCCACAAATACACACGAGAAAAGCAAAGCTGTACATCAAATAGGAAAAGAAGTAACTTGTCACAAAGACTCAAGTCAGGGTTGTCCCACTGAAAATCAAATGTTCAAGAAGAAAATACTGTGAACTGGGGACATTTTACCAAAATACCTGTCTTTGTTATTGAGAGGAAGTTGCAGAAGATTTGCACTTACTGTCCTAGAGACATGCGAATAGCAAGTGTTATTAGTACATTTAAAATTCATGTTTTATTTCCATCAGTGTGTACACTGAATGTGAAACTTCTGTGTTTTGTTTTGGAGATAAGGAATTTGGAAGAGGGTGGAGAGGACAAAAGTATGTCAGGTATGGTACTAATTAGGAAGTTCTCTCATCTACATCTGTATTTTGTATGTATTAGCAAATAGCATAGAAATGTCAGGGGCTTAATCTCAGTGTAGTAAACCTACTTTTTTTGAAAGACAGTTGGCTTTTTCTGATAAAAGGAAAAACAAATCATGTCTTGGGAGAATTTTACTTATATGCATATATCTCTTATGTAAATACTATCTCGCATATAAACAATGGCAGCTGAGATGTTACCCACAGACATAAAATAAGATTATTTCTCCCATTAAGCAGCTTCTTGGAGATAAAATTTAAGAGCAAACAACTTTCCTGTTTAATACATTTTATTATGCACTTTTTCTTTAATGTATGGCATTCCACTGTGTTGCAATATTTTGTTACTCACGTCCCTGGAAATTTGGAAGGATGAGTGATTTGTTGTTTCTTTTTTGCATATGGTTTGTCTATTCCTCTTCTGTATGTCTTTGTCTCTGCCTACTGAGTTGATTAGTGACCAAGTTCATGACTGATGTTATTATGTTTGCTTAGAGTGAATTAGATACTAGCTACCATGAGCAGAAGCAACCTCAGCACCTGCATGTCTAGAGATAGCAGTGGACTGGGTTTGTAATGAGCGGCAACATTGCAAACACAGCTTGAACTGAGTTGGGGTTTCCTTTTGTCTTCAAGTATGGCAAGGGTGGTGATTGCTGTGATGGCATACGGAGGTCATTCAGAACCTCTCAAACAGGTTGAATCACTTCCCCAAATGCTGCTGCCATCTGTGCCACTGTCTTTGGGTGTAGCCATTCCTGGAGACACTAGAGGAGGTGCTGTCAGTGATGGCATCGCAGTATTTCATAATCTCGACCTGCATTGTTTTGAATCTACCATCCCTGGAAGAGAAGCGAGGAGTGTGTGCACATGAGTTACAGCCAGCTTGTCATTAGTCATTGATTTAATTCTCCTTGTCGAAAGTCAGATACTTGGGAGATATTTCGAAAAAGTGGAATCAAAGTTTTATCTCTCTGTTTTAAATCCACAAGGGGCAAAGGAGACATATTTTTAAAAAAGAGTACAATTGAATTAAAAACCCCTTTTCATTAAAATGTTGAAAGACACTTAAAATCGACTTTATAGAAAAGCTTTAAAGAATAGCGAGGCTTTGGTAAGAGAAGGGTTCCGCGTACAATCGTGATAGAAGAGAAAGTCTATAGAAACTTGTGAGATTCTTCAGTGAATAACAAATACTTGCTGTTTAAGTTTCTTAGTCAGTGTCACTGCATCTGAACACTGTATCCTTGTGCTGGGGCCCAAAGACTCCAAAATGCGACCAATAAGCAAACGGCCCTGTCTGGGAGCCTGGCTCTTACCTAAATGAAGTGTAAAAGTAAACACACAGTATGCAGGCTGACAAGCAGCTTAGCTTCTACACGGTTAATATCGCAATGGCACAGAAAAGATATTCATTTGAACATATAATTTTGGTTTTGAAAAGGTCTCTTTAACATTCTCCACCTCTTCCTCCTTCACCTCAAGTCTTTTGACACTGGTTTTTACAATGGAAAATGGCTCTCTTAAGAGCAAACCAGTCCCAAAGGAACACAAAGAAGGCCATAGCCAGAACTTGTCCATCATTTGGATAAAAAATTGGGAAATGATAAGGCTTAGAACTACATTTTCAAGATACAAATCAAAAAGAGACTAGCCAAAAGGGAATTAAGCTCAGAGGAAGGAGTAGGTAGTCTATTCTTGGACTCCTATTTATTTGCTCAATCTGAATATAAATGGTTAAATCTCTGCTTAATGATTGTTTGGCCATGATTCTAAGGACATTGATGTAGCCTGGTCATTATGTCAAGGAATTCGAAACTTTTTGATAGTTAATAAAGCCATTTCCAGGGCTTTGGATAGCAAAAGTATGTGTAAAATTCTTCTGCCACATATCCATCCCCCATCTTTATCATAGATTAGCTTGTGTGATATGTTGTCCAGAAGCTTTTCTCAAGCTGTAGAAAAGAAATCAACAACAAGAAAAAACAAGGTTAGTAGTATATACTCCATTTCCAGCTTCTACTTGATGAATAGCCCTTTTTTTCCCCTTGCTCCGTGTTTCAAAGTCCCCCTGCTAACGCAGAATTATCCTTTTCCCATGGCACTGAGCACTGTCAGTATTAGGAATTCCATCATCAAAAAAAAAAAAAAATCACATTTTTATATATGCTATTTATTTATGTTCTTGTTGTTATTATAAATATGTCTATTATGACATTTGAACTTGACCTGGAGTTGTTCCCTATTGTAAAAATGCAAATTATTTATTTGCTTCCTTTATTGGTATTGTGTTGATGTTGATTGCAAAACCCTAAGAAAGGACAACTGAAACAGTGCAGATGAGAGAGATAAAAGTCAGTGATGACGATGTAACATTTTACGTATGTCCTTTCTGATCCTTGCAAAATAAAGAGACCCTTTGGGAACATCGGAACTTCAAGACCAATTAGTGGAAATGATGCTTCTTGTGTTTGGGCATTAAGTACTGGGCAGGGTTCTCTTTTAGAGCAGCTAATGCTGGCAGGGGAAGGTTTACCTAATTACTCTTCCGCAAGAGTAAAAAATGCCTTTTGAATGCCTCTTTGGCAAATATGTCTCATTAAGGACAAAAACCAAACACAAACCCTCTAAGAAGGAGAAATTAAGATGATAGGTAACTTGTGGCCAGGAGACTTTCTGTGCCACTGTGGGAAATTAAAACAAAGTTGGGGAGTACCAGGGGATAAGTTGTTTTTGTTGAGCTTCTTTCCTGCAGCTAAATGTTATTATGGGACCAACTTTATTTTCTTCATCATTTTGGCTCTGTGTCAAGGAATGCTTTGCTTCTGGGGAGAGCATAGAATCTTCCATCATTGAAGACAATGGTGATTCTCCCATTTCATCTCAGCAGGGCACATAACTCAGCAAACCAAGAAATTCCCCGTTGGAAACTCTGGTCTAAGAAATTTTATTTTTATGGTGATCAAATGGGGAGATGAGAATGAATTGTGATTTTTTGTTAAAAGGTTTTTTATTTTCAAGTTTAAAGGAAACTTCTGTTAAATTTCTAAAGTTTAAAAATTATTTTAGCTAATTGTCTTCTATCAGGTCTTAGCATTGACAGAAAAATTTTATGATGAGTATATGAAGCTTATAAAAGGAGACTACTGGTCTACTCACATTTGGGTTTATAGATTAAGGGTGTATGTTTTCCTTTTTGGTTTTGTTACTAGCATAATTTTACCTGTATGTTTTATTTTACCTGGTCATATTCATTTTTTAAAAAGATATGCATTTATATTCCAGTCTATAGTTGCATCTCATGACTGCTTAGCAAAATAAAGAGAGTTAGTCACATTTGTTTTGTGCAGTGACCAGTGGATAATCAAAAAGAGCAGACCAACAAAACCGAATGTTGATTATGCCTGTACTTTTCTAGAGGGCTCCAGTATTCAGATTTCTAAGTTTATCTGTTCAGTGAGTATATCCATCACCCATATGTGATTATGTTCATTGTAGGTCAAGGTTATTTTTAAGTGTAAAATTTTTTACTACCCAGGATTATAACAACTAGCATTCATTCAGTAACTCACTCAAAAACAACAAAAACTCTCAGTTTAACAAATGGTTGAATCTCCTGCAAAAAGAACATTATCTACTTAATTCTTATTTTTTTAAATTTGCGAATGACAGTGTTGTACTTATCCCAAATTTCCTAAGGCAAAGTAGTCTGTGTATTGAAAAACATTCTGTGGCCAAACTATACATTATCTCTGAAAAGACAGAGAAGTTGCTTTAATTTTCTAAGAAAATTAACTTTAGGTAATAAGAGTCACCTGGGACTAAAGCATCAGATTAGATTGTTCAGTTGAATGATCAGAAATAATGCAAGGATCAACAGGTCGGCTCAGGTGAGAATCATCGGGTTAGAGGCCCCATTTATCAAGACTATACAATTGTTCATAAGTCTCAAAAATGACTTTGAAATGCTGATGTATTTTGCAGATGTACCAAGAACTTACAAAACTGTTTGTAGTTCAGACATAAGCTTTCTCCTGTGTTCAGATTGCTTACTTAACAAGAAGCCACTCCAACAAACTCATCTGAATGCATTCAGGTTTTCTTATTGGTGTATGTTGAGGTGCCCAGCACATGCAATGTTGTTCAAGGCAGCTGTCTTGGAACCATCATTGCTATTGTAAGTGGGAAAGATTTAATGAAAGATGGTTGGAATGCTACCTACCTCCCAAATCTACAAAGATGTGAAAAAAGAATACATGAATTAGGTTTATAATGCCTTTAAAATGAGTATCATAAATTTCAGTATATTTTAGTACCTCAAAGACTGTTATGATTCATATGAAATAATTAAAAGTGGCTTATTAGGAGGACCAGCAGTTAGCATAATGGCTATGTCACTGGACTCCCATGTAGTTCACTGCAGTTCGAATTCTGGACCCGGTGGCTTAAACTCACGCTGGGTGTGTGCATGCATGCCCAAGGTCCCGAGAAGAGAATGGAGGAGAAGGGATTGTGGTGTGGCCATCCACCTGGGGGGGGTGATTTCTCGCTTTCTGTTTCTCTGTCTTTCTGGCAAGCTCACATTCCCTATAGCAAAAACCTCTACCAAAAAAATAAAAAGTGGCTTATTAGGAAGTAGGGGTATGGTGGTTAAGGAACTGGATTCCCACTGGCAGACCATAGTTTGAGTCCTGGACCCACAACTTACAGACCATGCCAGGAGCATGTGCACGCATGCCCAGAATCTGAAGAGTGGAGCAGAAGGGATTGTAATGTGGCCATTCCCCCTGGGTAGGGGAGGTGATTTCTAACTTTCTCTCTCTCTCACTTTCCCTCTGTCCTTCCACAGCAAGCACATGTGCCATTTGGCAAAACTTAAGAAAAAAATGACTTACTATATTTCTCTATGTAGTGTATTTTGCAAATTATCCCAGAAAATTAATATGGGTTAAATAACTTTCTCCCTCATGGCAACTGGAAAATAAATGTACTTATTTAAATCATACCAACAACTTCCTGTTCTAAGATTATTACTGTGAATTTTCTCTTAGAAATGAATAGTACTTGTTTCAAACCTGCCTTACAGAATTTTTCAGAAGAGAAAGAACTTTAATTTTTTCTCTATAGTTAAAATGAGTTATATGCTAACATTAGATAGAAGCTTCTGGATAAAAGCCCTTGAGTGTTTTATATCAGTTTGGATTGTTACATCTTTAACAATTCACTTTTAAGTGACTTCAATTAACACCAGTGTTATATGTGGCTATATTTATAGGAGGGAAATAAGTCGATCCAGTTGGAAATGTTCTATAATATTAAGAGTAGTGTATAAAAATCAATTATACTGTCGTAAGTTGTCCCTAATGTTATTGGCTTTGATTAAACCATTCCAGGGTAAGATCCAATTGTGTTAATTCAAACTGAAGTAATTGGCTCTTTTATGTTCCCTGCTTTTTATTATCAATTTACAGATCCAAAGGCTGCAAACTTTTCTTCATTCTGAGTTTAACTATTTAAACCATGTGCAAAGGGGACACATGAAACAATTTTTATCTACACCTCTTCTGCCTCAGTATATGTATATTTTAATTTGCTATAGGGTATGTGCACTTGCTGGAGAAAGGCAGGAAGAGAAAGAGAGAGGGAAAGTAAGAAAGCACCTTCCTCCATCCAAGAGGATTGGCCATGCCACAACCCTTCTCCTCCATTCTCTTCTCAGGAATTTGGGCATGCATGCACATTGGATTAGAGGCCCCATGCATATGTGCCCAGCATGTTTTTCAAGTCTCCAGATCTGGGACTTGAACTGCATAATTGGCCATGTGGAATCCAAATGCCTTAGCCACCATGCCACTGGCTGGTTTATGTCTAAATATATTGTAATTCAGAGGAGCTGGTTACTAAATTGTCTTGTAGAAAAGTTCCTAGATTGAAAGAAGGAAAAAAAAATACATAAAAATTAACTAAAAGTAAGATTCTGGATAAATTGTGTGTTTTTTATTCATTAGTACATTTTATTGATGGGAATTGAAAAATTTTGGTCATTGGAACCACAATGTAAGCAGCAGCAGTAGAATCCTCCAGGGAAGACACCATATTATTATTATTATTTTTTAGAGAAAGATTTTTGCTTTAGGGAATGTACACTCATTGAAGAGATAGAGAGACAGAAAGCAAGAAATCACACCTATACCCACCCACTCCCCAGGGGGTGATGGCCATGCTCCAATCCCTTTTCTTCCATTCTCCTCTCAGGATCTTGGGCATGCATGCACACATGTCCTGTATGAGTTTTAAGCTATCAGGTCTGGGACTCAAACTGTGGTTGACTACCTGGGAGTCCAGTGATGACGCCATCTGCTGGTCCCCAGGGAGGACATCATATTGAGAAGAATTCAAATCTCTTCTCAGGACACTTAAATAAACAAAAACCACAGAATTATCCAGCAAAGACCGTATTCTATTTCACATAGTGGGTGGCATTTGATAATCACAATGCATATTCATACAGTGATTTATGGTAAACAAAAACTCATTTCCTTATGTTATTATGCAATAACCACATCAGGAAGATGGGTACTGTTATGTCCATTTTAAACATGGGAAAGTGGAAGCACTGAAGAGGTTAAGTGGGAGTAACTCTTCTTATAAATGGTGGACCAGAGACTGTCTAGTTTTTTGTTTGTTTTGGAGAGGTTTTTGCTATAGGGTGCGTGAGCTCGTCAGAAGGACAGAGAGAGACAGAGAGACAGAAAGTGAGAAATCACCCCCCCACGGAGGAAGGCCACACCACAATCCCTTCTCCTCCATTATCCTCTCAGTATCTTGGGCACACATGCACATGCGCCTGGCGTGAGTTTAAGTCACTGGGTCTGGGACTCGAACCGCAGTCAACTACATGGGAGTCCAGCGACATAGCCATTACGCTAACTGCTGGTCCCCATACAGACTGTCTAGTTTTGATAAGGAATGGATCCCCTTGGTATCATTGTTCATTAGTTGAGATTAACTGACTCAGCATCATGTAAGTAAAGCTCCTGCCTGACTCTTTTAGAATTCAGAAAGAGGCACTTTGTCCCAAGACCCTAATAATTTTTCTTAAAGTAGATCATTTGCTTCTAACTTGTAAAATGAAGTCAATGAATCATTTGTTACATAACGCATGCTAAGCATTGACAGCCAAGTAAGGATTGTAAAGGATACTGGCCTCAACTTAACTTTAAAGAGTTAACTCCAGGGTCTTCTATGATGACAGTAATCACCATCAGTAAACATGCAGATTTTTATTCTCTTGTGGGCCATTCTTTACATTGCCTGCTCTGATGCTTCTCTACTCAAATCAATGTCAGTTTACCACACGTTCTGAAGGAAATACCACATTTGATTAGAGCTACTTATATCTATAATATTTAGAGTGAATTGAAGTGATGTGTTTAACGTGCTATTCTCTCTTTCTCTCTGTCTCTTTTTCCCTCCACCAGGTGAAACTGGGTGAGGATGCCCCAAATTCCAGTGTAGTGCATGTCTCCAATCTGGAAGGAGGTCACAATGGTGGAAATGGCACCCAGGAGAAAACAGCAGATGGAGCTGAATGCCACCTTCTTGACTTTGCCAACTCTGAGCGCCCACTGGTGGTCAACTTTGGCTCAGCCACTTGACCTCCTTTTACTAGCCAGCTGCCAGCCTTCAGCAAACTGGTGGAAGAGTTCTCATCAGTGGCTGACTTTCTGTTGGTCTACATTGATGAGGCTCATCCCTCAGATGGTTGGGCCGTGCCTGGGGACTCCTCTTTGTCTTTTGAGGTGAAGAAGCACCGGAACCAGGAAGATCGATGTGCTGCAGCCCACCAGCTTCTGGAGCGTTTCTCCTTGCCGCCCCAGTGCCGAGTTGTGGCTGATCGCATGGACAATAATGCTAATGTAGCTTATGGGGTAGCCTTTGAACGTGTGTGCATTGTGCAGAGACAGAAAATTGCTTATCTGGGAGGAAAGGGCCCCTTTTACTACAATCTTCAAGAAGTCCGCCGTTGGCTAGAGAAGAATTTCAGCAAGAGATGAAATCTAGTTTAGCTGGTTAAAGGTATGATTGTAATAGAGCTTATTATTTTTTAAAAAAAAATATGTAAAGGAAAGGAAATTAAGAACTGAATCATCTGATATTTCAACTGGATCCCATTGCCTCACTGAAGGTCAGGACAGAAATTCACTTGTCAAAAGAACACAAACCCCTAACATCTCAGTACTCCCTTCGCCTCCCAAATTGCATTGGGCCCTGTCTCCTCTCCTCTTAGTGAGAAGCCTTGAGTGAAAATATTCCAAGATGGAGAGGAAGAAACCCTGATTCAGCATGTTTTCATTCTACCTTGAGAAAGAAGTGATACAGTGGATGCATGAGTTGTGACCAGAAGAAAAGACTTAACCTGAAAAATTACTATGCTAGGAAAGCTACTGTCTATGTTAAGATAAAGGGCATTGCCTAGGCTTTATTCAGCATGGATAGAGCCCAACGGGAAAAATCCCCAAATAGTTACCTTGAACCCCAGCCATGCGGTTGGAATCAGTTTCCAATGTTCTTTTCAGCCATGCAGTACCCTGTGCTAGTTTACATGGCTCAGACTTCATGATGCATTTGTAGATAGCAAGAATGATCCTTCAACCTGATGGTTGGAATGATCACCTGAAATCTGAAGGTTACTTTCTAGGTATATGAAGAAAGCACTAGAAAAAGTCAAATTGACAAACTCAGAAAGAGGAGGCAGAAAGATTAGGGAGCTTCATGGAATTTCATCTTGAAGCTGTAGAGAGTGGGACTGATTTTGTTAGCCACAGAAACACAGAAGCATACACAAGGCCAGGAAAAGAAGAAGCTTAACTAAAAATAGCATAGAGACTACACATATGAAAACAATGTATTTATCTTATACTCCTAGATGGAGGGAGAAAGGGGGATTGAAGGGGGAAAATACTTAAATATTTGTATTTATAAGATTTTTTTATGGAAATAATTATTTTTTGAAGCATGTATGTGGTATGTGTATTTTCAAGGGGTGCATTATACCCCATGATACCTATTAAAGGAAAAACCAGTGGGTCTGATGGTGCTGGTCTGTTCCTCTCCATTCTTATAATTATGATATGGCCTTACTCATTCTTAGTCTCAGTCTCTATAGCAGTGTTCTCTCTGAATGCTGAGTTGAAGAGAATGTATATCTATATATGTATATGTGTGTGTTGCTGTGGGAGTCAGGTACCCTGATCATTCTGCTATAGCCCTGTTTTCCTCTCAAAGTAGGTGAACTACAATGAGTGAAAGGTGCAAACAGGCTTTTTATTGTTGTTGCAAAAGAGAAGGAGAGAACATTAGTTTGAGATAAAATTCCCATTGATGATTTTGGGTACTTTGATGTAAGGCAATCCATGGTATCATGGAATATAGTTAAATAGAATTTGTATTGACATTAACTTTGAACTTGGATCTATTTGTCCCATTAGCTGAGGTTTAGTAATTTAGAGTCCCTACAGTATATTATTATTATTATTATTATTATGCTATTTTAATGTGCCATGTCTCCCCTTAATGTAATGACACTATGGTTTTATCCATAAGTAATATCCAAAGGTTATAACCTCAAAAAAAAAATAGACCAACTATTTCCATAACTTTTTTTGGGTAAATTTAAAGATATTATTAAGTTATAATATATTGTATTTAAAGGTACAATCAGATGCTCTTATACCCATTCCATTATTTACTAAATTATAAAATAAGACTAATAGAAAGAGATAATATAACATTGAAAATACCTTTTTAAACTAGTTGCCGGAAGTGAGAAAAAAGTGGGAACTGGGTGTGCAAGAACTAAAAGTATTTAAAAAAAAAATAAAACTGGAACAAGATTTCAGTAATATCACTAGCTGACATGTTGTTTAGCTATTAAAGCTCTATTGTGACTGATTTTTAAATTTTCTTTTTACCTTAACATCTAAGTTTTTTGGTGTTTTAAATTCAGTAGAAAAAAAAAACACAAAGAAACAAAGCAAAGTTAGACAATGTGATGTTATCTAATGAATTGCTGGAAAAACATATTAAAAATAGATGATTTCAGATTTCTCAGTTGTTAAATTCAACAGTCAAGACTTGCCAGTGGCTCCCACTGATTTTTATCTTCAAAATGGTGTTGAGATTTACATGGCAGAGAAGTAAAATGGAACATTGATTGTAGCACACTCACACTACTGTCCTTAAATGCCCCCTTTATTCTACACGTACGATAATGGAACAGGATGTCAGAGAAGCTGGTGGGGGGATGAGATTTGACTAAGGCAATGCTAGTTATCTGGGGGAAAAGATGATTAAAAAGACCCAGTTGTGCTGTTATTTTTAAAGAAGGAGAAGGTTGTGAGTTTGTGAGTACAGATACTTCTCTCTGAGGATAGTCTAAGGGAGAAATGATATAGAAGGAGAAAACATACAAAATCATACATTAATTGACTATCAGCAAGAAAGGTATGTTTGGTAGAACATGGAAGAGTTACTGAAGGAAAAGCTGTTGAAGAGGCGCTGGAGAAGGTGAATTGATAAAGCTCAGGAATCCTACAGTATGTAGACTGGCTTGGTGTTATCAGGGTTATGATAAGCCTGTGATTGTATAACCTATTTATCTCAGTATGAACTTTTATGATATCTTGGATGTATCTTTCATAAAATTAACAAGAACTCATTACATGAGATAGAAAAAAAATCAATGCTTAGCTGATATGCTCACAAAGAAACAAAGCAAAGTTAGACAATGTGATGTTATCTAATGAATTGCTGGAAAAACATATTAAAAATAGATGATTTCAGATTTCTCAGTTGTTAAATTCAACAGTCAAGACTTGCCAGTGGCTCCCACTGATTTTTATCTTCAAAATGGTGTTGAGATTTACATGGCAGAGAAGTAAAATGGAACATTGATTGTAGCACACTCACACTACTGTCCTTAAATGCCCCCTTTATTCTACACGTACGATAATGGAACAGGATGTCAGAGAAGCTGGTGGGGGGATGAGATTTGACTAAGGCAATGCTAGTTATCTGGGGGAAAAGATGATTAAAAAGACCCAGTTGTGCTGTTATTTTTAAAGAAGGAGAAGGTTGTGAGTTTGTGAGTACAGATACTTCTCTCTGAGGATAGTCTAAGGGAGAAATGATATAGAAGGAGAAAACATACAAAATCATACATTAATTGACTATCAGCAAGAAAGGTATGTTTGGTAGAACATGGAAGAGTTACTGAAGGAAAAGCTGTTGAAGAGGCGCTGGAGAAGGTGAATTGATAAAGCTCAGGAATCCTACAGTATGTAGACTGGCTTGGTGTTATCAGGGTTATGATAAGCCTGTGATTGTATAACCTATTTATCTCAGTATGAACTTTTATGATATCTTGGATGTATCTTTCATAAAATTAACAAGAACTCATTACATGAGATAGAAAAAAAATCAATGCTTAGCTGATATGCTCAGAAATTATTAGATTGTCAATATCCACCCACCTATTATGTCTTTCATAAAGTATGTTCCTTTGAAGAATTGTAGTTTTTACTCTACAAGGAAAAATGTTAAAGTCTGAGTGTTTTTTCTTTGTACTTAAACATTTTCCCCCCATAGGCTATGTTTACATGGGACTATAAGTTTAGCCTTTTAAGCTGAATTAGCTTGTCTATTATTGAAATAGCTTCCAGGAAATTTTAGATATTATCATAGCATCTGGATTTACTCAGATGTTTAGTGTTTGAGAGACATAGGTCTTAGAGTTATTCAAAACTTGCTTTACTATATTACTTAGAAAAAAAAAGAAGAATCAACAATGACTTTCTTGAATGGGCATGAATGAAATGCCTGTTGAGTAATGAAGAAATATTTCCTACAGCTATTAAAATATGACTGCCCTCCTTGGAGGCATTCTAGTAACTATTCTTGCTTTGTATCGCTAAGGTGATAGCCATTTAACTTAAATGACTTTCTACATTCACATTTCGGATCTCTGGTCCTGTGTCTGTACCTCACTAGTAGAATATGTACCTGATTTTTGGTAATATCAACTTGTAAATGCTCTATTGATTTAAATTATTTCCCCATTAGCCGGGAAATGCTTTTTCTCTGATCAAAAAGAGGACAGCCATATTCTTGCATTTGGCTTGAGTGCATGCATCTCAATGTTTGGTTCTTGAATAAAAATTATGAAATATGATGAGGTCATGCATAGGTACTGCCTTGCTGCCTAAAATACCAGAGGGGCAGGTTAAAGACTATCTCTATGTCTCTGGGAAAATTCCAATGTGGATACAGGTTCTCTAGGAATTTCCTATGCACTACAGTCACAGCAAGAGGAATTTATTCATTTTCAGGACTTCCCATCAGGTATATCATAAGAGGATGAACCTCTGGCTGATGAATTGGACAATAAGGTTATTTAGAATTACATGACCATTATAGACAGTCTATCCAGTTGAGGGATTAAGGAAAACCTTGACCAGCATTTAGAGCTTTCCAGACCATACCTAATGTCATGTCTCTCAGCAGTGAAGATTAACAGTGAGGCTTTTAATTCCAGGAGATTTTTGAAAAAATGATATTGCCAAAAATCACAGCTGAAGTACATTTAGTTACAGTCTAACTTCCTCCTTTACATTAAAATAGAAGCCAAACTCACTCATTACATGTACATCCAGCATGGGGCATAAGTACCAGTCTCTGCTTGGTGAGTGGCACTGTCATGGTGGTGTCCTGAGACACTCTATGGAAAAAGGAGACTGAGGCTGGGAGAGCTGGGAAGTTGTTAACTGAGAAAAATTAGGTGCTGAGGGCCCCATCTACTCATTAAAAAAAAAAAAAAAAAAAGTAAAGAAACTTTTTATGATTGAAAGGAGGCTGCTGAGTGTCATTGAGTGACTTCAGGATGAGCAAAACATGAGGCCAGTTGCTAATGCTCTGTGTTCCGGATAGCACCCGAAGCAAGGTCTCAGACTGAACAGACCCAGCTCTGTTCCAAGGTGAGTCTGAACCAATCGAAAGCAAACATGTCCAGGTATTCAAACAAGACTGCTCATGCAAGTCAGGGCTTGCTGCCCATCAGAAGCAGCAGCACCAGGGCTCCAGGGAGTTTGTTTAATATTTGCTAAGACTTCGAAGACCAGGCAGATGTTTAATGAAGTCACTATTTTGGTTCAACACCCACCCCCCTTTCTACCTCCCTAAAGAAATCAAATAGGTAAATACACAAATGAAAGAAATCCACAGAAGGGGATGGGAAACAAAATTCAAGACTTCTCCAGACCAGGTAGCACTGGTCAGGGTAGTTTTCATGTGGATTAGAATTGGGAGATACAAAGACATAAGTATCCAGTACTTTATAACCAAAGCAATTAAAAGATATTGGGTAGGGAATGTTGGCCAGTTTTGTTTAGTTTTGCATCACATTGTCACCAGACTCACTAGCCCAAGTAATCCGGTGCCCGAAGAGGGAGACTGGGATGTGCAGAGTTTACCAGTGTGCGAATGATAACCACTGACGAAAGAGTCATCGGCTCAGTTAGTGGTTGGATGTAGTCACATTAGTTTGTCTCTCCCCATCTTTGTCTCCCTAGCAAGGAGAATATTCGGGACATGATGCTAAGAGTCCTGGGTAAATGTGGTGAGAATGCATGTGTATATATCTCTGCTTCTCAATTGCAGAGAAAGAAATGCTTTGGAGATTATCAGTAGAAAGAGTTTACTATAATGGTGCTGAGTGGTATGTGTGCTTTTACAATTTGTTCTTGTATTTTAATAAACTTTGAATAAAAGAATAAAGTTAGTTTTGGGTTCTATTTGTTTATTTAAAAATGAATCTATAGTCCTTGCCCCCAGCCTGGAACACATTCATAGTTGACAAAGGGGAGAGAATTCATCATATTGATATTTATTCCTTCGTATTTGTGGGCAAAGTAGCCAGGGAAGCCAGGTTATTTTAATCTCATGCTTTGTGCCAGAGTCCTCAAGGAAATCCAGACAAGTTAGAAGAAAATCTCCAGATACTTTCTATATTTATGAACAAGTCACACACAAATTCATGAAAAGTGACTGGTTTAAGAGACTGGCGCAAATTTTTGCTTTGTTAGATATGCATCCCAGGCTTCCTGAGTGCAATAAATAAACATTTTAGAAAGTTCTTTACAACAATACACAAGCACACATATAATATATGCATCCATATATTAGTCGTTATATGATTCACAATGCATGAATATGCAATGCAAAATCAACATTTGAACATACACCAAGCACTTTCCACTGTAAGAAGGCATAAAGGACATGAATGTTGTATGGAGGCCGTGATCTGTTAATGACAAGGAATATTTAATTAAATATGTGCATTTTGTTCCTGGAAACAGTAACTTAACCAAAGTATTAGTATCTCTTGATACTCTGAACTTGCTCACAATTTCCTACACCTAGTCATTTTATTATTTTTATAGTGTCTTACATAATATTCCAGAATTTGAATGGGAATTTTAAAACTATACTTTGACAACTGTTTAAGTTTCTATTCCTCGCAGGGCCCTGTGTAAGATGCAACATAATGTGCAAAAAAAGGCAGTATAACTAAACCCCTAAAGACATGACTCCCTCAAAGAACCTGTTGTAATTAGTCTAAGAAAAAAAAAAAAAGATGTATTAGCTGATATAACCAAACCTTTCAAATGGGTGGAGTGAAACGTGACTGAGGAACAACTGTATCCAGAGACTTAAAAACCTTCAAGGTTTACCAGGTCTTTCGTCTCTGTTCGTTTTGGGAAACTATCAGCTTTTTCTCTCAGACTAGCTTCTGCTCTTGCTAAGTGACCTAGTGAAGGAAGCTTCTGACTTACATTCTAACTATAGGATGGTTCACATGGAGTTATACATTGTTAGATTTAATGTACTAATATTTTGTTGAAGATTTTTGCACTTAGGTTTATGAGATATTGGTCTATAATTTTCCTTCCTTCTACTGTCTTTGGTTTTGTTATTTGGGTAATGTTGGCCTCCTAGAATATTAGGAAGTATTCACTTTGCATCTGTCCTCTGGAAGAGATGATAGAGTACTGAAATAATTTCTTCCTTAAATGCTGTATTGAATTCACCAGCAAACCCATTTGAGCCTGGTTCTTTCTGAC